TAGTTTGTTTGTTTGTGGAAAGTTAAAATCATTTTTTTTCTTTTTCTTTTCTAGATTTTTGTGTCCGTACCATCTGAGGTAATGTCCCTTTAATGATTCTATCTTTAGGGCTTAAAATGATATAATTTTTTTTATTTTGATGTTCTTAAAATGACAATTGTTTTATTTGATTATTTTATACTTATTTTTATTAATTTTAACTTTAATGATTGTTGAGATAAGTTTTAAAAAACTACTCTTCTCTTTAGGAATTGTCGAGTAAAAGCCTCCAGAGTATGTTTAGTTTAGAGAGGGAGAAGGAAAATAATTTTTATTTAGATAAAAAAATTGCCAGGGTTATGAAAGCAATGGATTGGCTTCTCCTTTAAAAAAAAAAAAAATTATTGTGATTTATTTTGCATGTGAGGGACAGAGAGAGGTCTCCTCTTTCTCTCTTCACATCAAACAAGGCTTTAATTGTAAAATCATAAGAATTTAACATTTTAACATTTTTTTTACCAGAGTTATATTGTGATGGATGAGGGATGAGAGAGTGAAAAAGATACGAATTTAAGTTTGATAAGAAATATCATGTAAGCAATAACCAGTTACTTTATCCAGAATTTTTTAACATTTTAATATATTAAATTATAAAATATAAATTATTTTTAATAAAATACATCATTTAATAGCACCTGACTCTTCGGATCAACTGGTAACCTGTCAGCTTAAAGTGCATTCCTCTCCCCCTGAAGCTCGCCCCTTAACAACTTATTCAAAAAAAAAAAAAGAACATCATTTAATAATTTATGTTGTACTCTCTAAATCAAATTCTGCACTTCCTTAAAATAAAAATAAAAACAACAATTCGCACCTGACTCGAAGGATTAATTGGCACCTTACTACCACCTTGATGTACATTCTCCCCTCACCCTTTCCATGAAGGCCGGCCCTTGAGAACTTGTTAAAAAAAATAATAACAATAAAATAAAAACAACAATTCAATGCATTAGAATGGCACCGGACTCCTAATATAGGGGGAGCTCTTTTCTTATTTAATGGTCTTTAATTTTACAACCTTACAATGCAATCTACACCAATTAATACTATAAAAAAATAAAATAAAAAAAATAAAAAAGCTGAAAGTTACCCAACCATATTAAACTTTACTCGGAAAGAAATATTATTATAAATAATCCATTATCCATTCTGCACTTTTTTTTCCAAAAGCACTAATCAATTTGTCATGTGTTCCCTAATCCCAATTGGAGAAAGTCTATGTAAAAGGAGATAATTTTAAGCGCATATGACTATTTGGAGGTTTTATCTGCAGAAGGTGGAGTCTTTTGGACTGGCGTTGTTGGGTTGGCCGACTCCTCTTCAACAAGTTTACGCAACCTCTCTTGGAGAGCTCTTACCCTGTCCTCAGTCTTCCGAAGCTTTCTCCACCTGTAAGCGGTCCAGAGTCCAAGACCACCATAAACAACAATATAAGAAGCCCACACGTAAGGATAACTTTCTGCATGCTCTTTGATTTTCTGATACCGTAGTTGTATCATCTCTCCAAGCCCAGCGGCTGGGACACTCGAGGTTTGCTCACATGTTTCTCCTTCTGGTTGAGTTGCCATACTGTCAACGTTGGTACAGGGTCTTGGGAGCTGGTATAGAAGGCAAATAACAGAAGGAAAATTTCTCAGGAATTGTCCACTCATTTGCATCAACAAAAGAGGTAAACATATACCAATGGAAGAAAGGGTTGTGGAGAAAGTAAAGCTTTTGAACAAGCAATGAGAACTATTGAGAGTAACAATGTTCACTTTGAACAAAATACAAGACTACAGACATTTCAGATTTATATAACTGCTACAAGAACCATGATCAACAAACCAAACAATGGAATGAACGCAATCAGATGAGACTAGACTCGCATGAAATTCTCACTTCAATTTTCAGGTACAAAAAACATATATTGAAAACGAATGATCCACTGGCTGCAAGCAAAGAGATGGCTCCGGATGGAACAGGAAGCTAGCTTCAACCTCAATATAAATAAATATATTCTGGCCCAAAAAAAAGAACTCAATATATCAATCTAACTTAAACCCTGCAATTGCTTATCTTAAGACCACACCTCTTTGAAAAAGCATTTGAGACGGAATTTAGAACATATTATCTTGAAATTTCACCGATCCAATTCGTTAACCATCCAATAAAAAAAGGTCCCGGAAATGTATTATGCACAATGAAGGACTTGGAATCTCACAGCAGGCTTCTGTTACAGACAATTGTCACAGTGTCAGTCACCTGACTAATTAAGATCTAAATAAAGAAAACGATCATCTACTTGTGCTTGGTTATGAGACATAGGGGAGAAATTCTGTTCCCTCTTTAAAGGCTAAAAGTAACAAATAAAAGAGAATCATAATTCAAGAAAGAAAATCCAACCAATTTTCCTACTTAAAATGGACATTACCCAAAATTCCTAAAACAATCACGAACTCGTCAAAGTCTCAATTTCTCAATTGGATCGAATTGATATTACCAATGTGTTAAGAAACCACGGCAGTAAATGTCAAATCCCAACATACCATTCAACTGAAGACAGCTTGTGCGAATTGGTTCAACAGGCCATAAATGAGAAGAATGTTATATTCTTGATCATTTCTGGCCGAATATTAAACACTCAAATTAATAAGACAATAACACTTGGGTTGCGCACGTATGAAGCAATTTTTAAATTTTAGGAAACTGAAAGTAATTGTTTGAGTTGTTTATTGATATAGGAAATTTTAGTTGATAATATCACCAAGCACATCCTATACCACTACAGCCATCAAAGAAATCAACCCAAATGGATAGGCACGAAATTTCTCATAGGCAAAACATCAAACATCTTGTATGCATTGAACACAACTGATATATCAACAAAATATACATCTAGCTTCAACATCAGGAAAGAAAAACGACGTCAGTGGTAACAGTCAACCCAGAAAAGGGTAAAGGAGCAAACTTTACCTTAAAATCACTGGGATACCGCCAAATGCAAACACCACACAAAACCAGCACTATTCACCGCTAAATCCCGGAAAATAGATGATCCCGATGTATTTTCGGCACTTGCTTTCGGTCCCAAATGAAGCAGAAATAAATAGATTTTGCTCTATAGCTTACCCTTTAGCTTTTTAAGTTGGAAAAATGGATTCCGTTCCGGGGACAAATAAACGGGAACGGAGATGAGATGAGAGGCGGAGGTGAAATCAGTCTCTGATAATCCAGCTAACTAATTTCCGGAAGCTCAGAGGACGGAGAAGATCCAGAGGTGAGATTTAAGAGACGAAGGAGGGTTTTAGACGAATTTCCTTTTGGGCCTGCAGTAGAATTTTCAATTTAGATCCCAGCTGGGCTATGCGCCTATGCAAGCTCACTTAGGCTAAAACCCTAATCCATTTATTAGGTATGGGCCTTTTGGGCTAAACCCCGGTACATTTTCAAAAACGAGATTTTTTTTTTTCCATTTTTTTTAAGGCAATTTACACTTTAAAACTTCAATCCATGGTGGTGGGAAGATACAACAACTTAATCAATGAATCTTCATGTGCGTTCCTGATTCATTAAGGGAATTACTGTCTTCTCCCATCCTATTATGATGTTTTTAAGTGCAAGGCTAGTAAAAGCCATTTCTATTTATCATCAAATGAGTTAAGTAGTTGGATTTCTAAAAAATTATGAAGAAAAATAAAATAAAATTACATTGTTTTATTACATTTTAATTGAAAAAGCTAAAAATAATCTATTTTTAAAGTAGGATAATGAATTGATGTAGTTTTGGAACTTAATTTTTGAGAGATGTACATGACAAATACTAATCCTTTATAAAATCCCTAATAAACTTATTTCTATTTTTAAGTATTTGATTTAAAAAAAATTAAATTATATAATAAAACGCAGTGCAACATCTCTTCTCTCATTCTTTAACTCAATTTCGTATCAAGCAACTTGAATATAAAAGTTCTTATCCCAAGGCTATAGTTCAAACTTCAAAGGTCACATAGTCATGAATGTATCAAAGAAAATAGAGGATATTTGCCAAAATGCGGAAAAAATGACAAAACAAGCAAAATAAACAACAGAGCATGTCGTGAACAAGGCCAAAATTGGTCCAAAGATGTTTGGTATAGTGAGAATCAAGGTTTCTTTTGACTCATTGGTGGGTATAGCGAATCTGCTTAGATTTGCTACGAGTTATGGGACTTGTGTGTGGGTAGGATGTCAATAGAATTTTGCAGGGTTGGGGAGTCCCTCCCCGTCTCTGTTCCCACAAATGGTGGGGACAAACATTCCCACGGAGATTTTTTACGAGGGGTAGATTTTACCTTCCATCCTTGTTTCTCACATGATTCTCGTTTCCCACCAATTAATATTAAATTATAAATTTTTTTGTCTTTTACATATAATTAATTAATATTCAATTATAATGAATAAAATTTTAAAAATTCAAATACAATTAA